CTTCTTGTATTTTTCTTCGTTTATTCTTCTGGAGTTAGAACACTATGTACTTCTTTAGCTTGTGATTCAAGAGATTTCAGGTTTTGGGAGTGCTATGTTCAGTTTGAGAGTGTTATTATTGTATATGCCGAGCGGCATTTTAAACTCCTTTATTATATTACATGTAAATTGTTAGTTTCGTATTTATTTCATTTTCTGCAAATTGTTAGGATTACCTAGTCGTACAGACTAGGTGCTATCACGATAGTTCATGGAGGGAGAATTTGGGTCGTGACAAGTTGGTATCAGAGCTCTAGGTTCATAGAGTCATGAATCACAAGCCGGTTTAATAGAGTCTCGCGGATCGGTACGGAGACGTCTGTACTTATCTTCGAGAGGCTCTGGAACTGTTAGGAAAATTACACTTTATTTGATTCCTTGTCGGGCGAGATTATTGACTTCAAAAATTCTAAACTTCTGTCTTCCATTCTCTCCCAAGTGGTGAGGACACGTGCTACCGAGATGACCAGACACCAGCGCCCCCTGCTAGAGTCGCCAGAGGCCGAGGCCGGGGAAAAGGCCGAGGACGCGCACGTGCTGCAGCCAGAGCACCCGCGCGAGCTGTTATGGAGGAGCCACCAGCAGCTCCAACCGGAGCCCAGACGCCTGATATGCCTACTGCCACTACTACTCCAGCTCTCCAGGAGACCCTTGCACAGTTCATGAGCATGTACAACACCTTAGCTCAAGCAGGGTTGCTTCACCTTACTACAGCCACATCTCAGGACGGGGGAGGAGCATAGACTCCCGCCGCTGGCACTCCAGAGCATCGGGTTCAGGTTGATCAAATCCCAGAGGTTATACCAGTACCGCCTACAATCCCAACTCCGCCCGAGGGTAGGGTAACAGTTTTAGAGGAGGAGCAGTGGAGGCTTGAGAGGTACAAGAAGTACGACCCTCCTACATTCAGTGGTCTAGCATCAGAGGATGCTCAGGGATTTCTGGAGGAGTGCCACCGTATCCTCCACACTATGGGCATAGCAGAGACGAGTGGGGTTTCCTTCACCACCTTCCAGCTTCGAGGGGTAGCCTATCAGTGGTGGCGTACTTTTGAGTTGGACAGCCCAGCTGAGGAAACTTCCCTTTCATGGGCCCATTTTTCAGATATGTTTTTGAGGGAGTATGTCCCTTAGAGCCTCAGGGACGCATGGCGCACGGAGTTTGAGCATTTACGCCAGGGCTCTATGACTGTTTCGGAGTATGCTATCCATTTTAGTGACTTGGCTAGACATGCACCGGCCTTGGTTTCCACAGTTCGGGAGAGAGTTCGTCGGTTTATTGCGGGGCTCATTCCCAGCATCAGGTCCAGTATGGCCCGAGAGCTAGAGATGGGTATCGCCTATCAGCAGGTGGTGAGTATTGCTAAGAGGGTAGAGGGCATACTTGCTCGGGATAGAGGGGAGAGAGAGGCCAAGAGGTCTCGAGAGTCGGGCCATTATTCTAGTGCCCATGCCCCAGCTGCAGTTCGTCATGGTAGGGGTTATATGAGTCACCCCGTTCATTCAGCTCTTCCAGCAGCCAGCGGTATTCAAGCTCCTTCTAGGCCTCAAGAGCCTTATTATGCACCTCCAGTATCTTGTGGGCCTCCTGCACGGGATGCTTTCAGTGGTCAGTCCAGCAGACCTGGCCCGATCCAGTCATTACCACCACGTCCTCCCAGAGCTTGTTTTGAGTGTGGTGACACTCGTCATGTGGTGAGAGATTTCCCCAGGCTTAGGAGGAGTGCACCTTCATAGACTTCTCAGCCACAGCGTGCTCCACCAGGTCCTCAGGCCATGATTACAACACTAGTTGCTACCCTATCTGCTCAGCTAGCTAGAGGTGGAGGTCGAGGGGGGTAGAGGCCGCCCTACAGAGGGAGGCCAGGCAATATACTATTCCCTCCCTTCCCGTACTGAGGTTGTTGCCTCTGATTCTGTCATCACAGGTATTGTTCCGGTCTATCATAGAGATGCATCGGTTCTATTCGATCCAGGCTCCACTTATTCTTATGTGTCCTCATATTTTGCCCCGCATTTGGGCGTATCTCGGGATTCTTTGAGTTCCCATGTTTATGTTTCTACTCCTGTGGGAGATTCTCTTGTTGTGGACCACGTTTATCGGTCGTGTTTGATTGCTATTAGTGGTTTTGAGACCAGAGCTGATTTATTATTGCTCAACACGGTAGATGTTGATGTTATCTTAGGCATGGACTGGTAGTCGCCCCATTATGCTATTCTTGATTGTCACGCCAAGACCATGACGCTGGCTATGCCAGGTGTACTGCGATTAGAGTGGAGGGGTACCTTAGATCACACTCCTAGTAGAGTTATTTCATTTCTTAAAGCTCAACGAATGTTTGAGAAGGGATGTGACGCGTATCTAGCTTATGTGAGAGATGTTAGTATTGATACCCCTTAAGTTGATTCAGTCCTAGTAGTGCGGGATTTCTCTAATGTGTTTCCAGCTGATCTTCCGGGCGTGCCGCCCGACAGACACTACTAGAAATTAGTCATATGGTGACGATTCAAAAACCGTTGCGCTAGGAATTGACACTATTGCCGTAGAGGTATTGCGACGCTTTTGCGGCCGCTACAACAGGTATCGTCGCAATAGAGCTATAGGGACGGTTCTATGTAACGGTTTCATAACCGATGCATAAGATGACCTATTGCAACGGTTATTCTATGAATGATATTGCGACGATTCTTTACTCTATAGAACGGTTAAAAATCGTTGCAGTAGAGTTCATTATCAACTGTTGTTCAGGCTATTGCTACAGTTATTTTATAATATTGCAGCAGTTACTTAATGCTATTGTGACGATTGCGTTATACTATTGCAACGATCACTTTTGGCTTATGCGATTTGGGCTCATGCTATTGCAACGGTTATAGTGATATATTGCGACGGTTATTTTCTGGGCTACTGCAACGCCTATCATATCTCTATTGCAACAATTATACAAACCAACAGTATGTAACATACCTTGAAATATATATAATTTACGAGAAAAATTCATTTTTAAACAAAATCAGAATCCATAATAGGTGTAATATCCATAAAAGCAAAACATTTAACAATATCTGCCTGTGAATTGGAACACATTAGTTTCCAAAGTGTACAAAAATAAAATATTTCTAGTTTCATCATGAATCAACCTAATACTCCTAAGTAAGATCTTCATCACTTTGGTCGCCTACTTCAAGTTCTCCACCTACAAATAATCAAAAAATAAATAATTTAGCAAAAGTTCTATAAAAGGATTTCATTTAAAGATATGTATATTAATGTCATGACACATGGTAAGATTAAACAAATTGACAAATACACAAGGCCAAACCCATATGCGGCCCCTCTAACTTGGCGCCAAAATTCATACAGATACCTCAACTTAGCTATGTTTCATTTAAACACTCCAACTATGTTTCAACTGTTCCACTTAAACACAATTTACAAACTTAAATCCTTGTAACTTATACAGCCAACAAAAAGTTGCAACTGTTTTATCTAAACACCTATCCTACAAATTGATATAAAGAAGCCACATACAGGATTCTCTTCTCAACCATCAGACCTACACCCTCGACTCAGTCGACCTCTCACCTGACTTCTTTAAGCTACCCAATATACCATCAATCAACTTATCCTTTTTTTAGCACCCTCAATTAGCAGTTTCATATTAATGGAGAGCAAAAAAAAAAAGAACATCATAAGTCCATTGCAGCATAGTGGAACTCTTGAAGACAAATTTTTGTTTGTTGAACAAAAGGTACTATGCAACTCAAAATAACTTACACTCTGCAGTGGAACATTAGAACCTAAAAACCTGTAGTTGCTTGAGAACTGAATAGGGAGGGGGACGGGGAGAGCTTCAGATTTTGTATGAGACTACAATCTGCAACCAAATCTGCTCCTTCTAAACCCCTAAACTTACAAGAGTAATAAACTTGACAAGGCAAGATAAATGAACAACTGTAGCTGTTCAGGAGGGTGCATATGCTTTGCTCAAACTAGAGAATCTATAGAGACTCTTCATCATCTTCCAAGGCACTATAAATCAGCCAAAATAATGATATGAAGAGGAGAAGGACGATATAGCCTAGTTTGAAAAGTCTCTGCTTCTTTTCCTAATCAAGCTGATTAAAAATCTCGGTCACATCAACAAGATACTGCCTTCTCGTGTACAATCTGTAGTTGTAGTACATATATGGAACACATACAAGTGACATATATGGAAAACATCTGCCATATTACTGGCTCGGCAAAATCAAAAGGAGGATTTGGTGATTAATTTGGGCCAGGTGCGTGATGCGCCCCTAGTGCTTTCTATTGGAGATTTGATTGTAAGTACTATAGAGGAAGCAACGAATCGGAGCAAAAGGCAAAGATTCCAGTTTTCAATTAGACTTCTCTAGCAGCAAGAATACTAAACTACATCCCTCAAGAATAGCAACAAGTATATGATACAATGTGACTACACTTCAGAACATAAATGGTGACATAGCGCAACATTAAATAATAAAGTACATATACCTCAACTACCCAAAAAACATTCTGTTGATCTAAGGAACCACATAAAATCCACAACCCACATCTTTAATCAAGAAAATGACAGATCAAGTAGTTTTTACTACAAAAAATACATGAACAAGAAGCAGATTCTTTTACAAAAGATACATGAACGGAAGTCAACACAGGCAGAAACAAATTCGCCAGCATTTTGGGCAGAAACTGGAAAAATTGGGCAGAATTTTTGGGCAGAAACTGGAAAAATTGGGCAGAATTTTTCTAAAAAAAAATTCGCCAGCATTTCGGCGCTTTTTGGGCGTTTAGAAAGAAGAAGAAGAAGAAGAATCAACAGCAATCTAGACTCCAATATGGAAAACTCAAACCACAGTAAAATTCAATACATATATTAACAAATATCAGCAGCTCTACAGTTGCTAAAATATAAATTTTAGCCTAGGAATAAAGTGATGCTAACCTTGATTGTTGCTACCTGTAGATGGTCGACGGATCAGTTGATTAGCAGCTTGTGGTGCAGAGGTAGCTTCTCCTAGTGACGAAACAGACAATGTTGCTAGTATGTTTGGATTAATTAATGCTGCACGCTGAAGTTGAGCAATTACATCTGCAGTAATTTCTTTTCGCATAGTTCTCTTTTGTTCTTCCATTTGTTCCTCCATCTTTCGAACCCTTTCTTGCATTTCTTGCACTGTATTATTTGTGGCATTTGAAGTCTGCATGAAATGGCCCACTTTTCCTTTCAAAGTAGTCTTTGTAACCCCCCGTCCATATAATCTTAAACGTCCTGGATGTTCAGGACCCATGACAGATGAAAATGCATCAACAGACTGACTGCCATTTATACTTTGTTGTGTTTCAATTTTTTCCATTTCAGCCTAACAAAGCAAATTCAACAAAAGAATTAAAGTAAATAAAAAATAAGGAAGAAGAATAAATAAAATAATCTCATCTAAAACTTGCATATAGATAATATTAATACAATTTTACTAGTTGTATTTTCGTCTGAGTCCTTGAACACACGCCCAGGTTTTCTTGCTCTTGTGGCCACAAACATCTCCTTAAGTGATACAGGTTCCTTTGTTTTTTCCTAGTCGCACGAAAATGGATATAAGAGATCTTTAAAAAATATAATAGATATAATAATAAATAATAGTACACACCAATTCATTACGGATTAAAGCAAAACTTGTTTTGCCAGCAGTGTGTGAATCCGTCAACTTTTTTCGCTTCTCCTTGTTGATTTCGGATGATCTCTGCAAAATAAAATGAATCAATACAATATAATCAACCAAAATAGAACAACATTATTTGCAATAATTTGTGAGATGCACAGAACCATCTGTAGAGTTATAGCTCAGCTACTTGTGAGTTATTTGCAACAACTTGTGGTCTCTAAGCTAGCAAAGAATGAAGGAGAGCAATTGACAAGATTTGCTATATCAGAGTATGCTGGGATATACAAACTGTAGAGTTATAGCTATATGCTGCAGCGACTAAGCTTGTTGGGATACTTTTCGTTGAACTTGATAACCAATCTATGAAGTTCTTATTTCAAACTCTTCCTTATCTTGAGAGTATTCCAAGCAAAAAACACTAGCAACTATATCAGAAGAACCATGAGATGCACAGAACCATGATCATGGTTTATATACTGGTTGTAACTATTGTCAAGATCATGGTTTATATTTACCTGTAGTTTATCAGAACTCCAATATTTCAGGAGCTCTTTAAACTGATATTCTGGTATATAATCGGGCCTTTTTGCCATTCGAACCTCATCATTTTGATAGACATCATAATGATCTTTCTTTAGTTGACTTTTATGCCTTCTCCAAGCATTTCCAATTGAAAATAAAGTTCATGTTTTTGCAGCATCAGGAATATCATACTTCAACTACAATTTGATTTCATTTGATTAGCAGAAATGGTAACATACTTTTAACAAATAACTGAACATTTGGATCGGAACTTCAAACCTTGGTATATGTCCATAAATCGTCTTTTGTGTCCATTTTCCTCCAATCCAATATATCCAGCGGGCAAAGAGTTGCAGTCCTTGCCAATGTACCGAGGAAGCTACCAAACTCTTTTACATCTTCTTTAGTAGGACCAATGGGCTGATTCAAATTGTTAAGTCTGATCACCTTACGCGTCTTTCGGCTATGGACACTACGCATTTGTGTCCTGCCTCTTTTTTTTGGAGTTACAGGACCAGAAGCTACAATAAAATACAAAAAATAAGAGGTTATGGATGAATTTAGTAAGATTCTAAGTTATGTAGACTTACCTTGTTCTTCAGATCGTTCATTAGCTGTAGGAGTGGTAGAATCTATTTGCATTTGCTCATCTACAATGTGCCCTTCTACAACTTGCTCCTCTACATGTCGTTTATTTGCATCAGATCGTTCTCCTATTGTTGGTTGTTCTTCAATTAGTTTTAGCAGATGCTCTTTCTCTGACCGTATAGCTTGAACGGTTTCTTTTGTTGTCAATGACATTCTCTTTTTTTTTTGCCAAACATGATAAACTTCCAACTTGAACATATGACGGGTTTTTTCCTTTTTTATTTTTTCTTGAAGACCCGTCTTGACCCATGACATCTAAATCAGTGTAAGTTTAAGAAAATGAAAGCTAATCAGGTTAGACAATGGAACATAACAAAGAAAAAAAAGGAAGAAAAGGCATGAAAGAGAAATTTTGTGCCACTTACTTGAAAGAGAAACTTTATGCAACTTACTTGAATCTACAATCAGTAACAATTGCTGGTATAAAACCTGTAAACTTGAAGCAATTCAATATAGAGCTGTAAGGAAAAAACAAATGCAAAAAGTCTAAAAGCATACAAACAAGAAAAACAATCACATAATATTTCTAAACTCACTAAAAAACAATGACGACTATATATTTAAAGAAGTTCAGAAGATCATTTATCAATCATCAGCCTCCATCCAATCCCAATCAGTATCATCATACTCATCCTCCTCTTCCGATGTTTCCATAGTTGTATCTTGTGATTGAGAAGGCATATCAATGATATCAGCAGGTATATCTTCTCTCGACCATCTGGCATCCACGTCGAGTAATATATTTGATGAACCAATATCATCATTAGGCTCTCTCCAAAATGTTTCTCCAATATTGGGACAATTCTCTTCTTCCAAATCATACAAATCAACAGGGACTTTATTTCTTGCATAATAAACATCTTTCTCAATTGGATCCTCCACATAAAAAACTTGATGTACTTGAGATGCTAGTACAAAAGTATCATCTGTACTGCATTTTTTGTTGAAGTACACCCGCGTTAATCCATATCCATCAATTTCATTATGAAACCAATCACATCTAAATAGTACAACACTAAAATTATCCCAATAATTAATTTCAATTATATCCTGAATAGCTCCATAGTAGATAACCGTTCCACCGATGGGATTTTGGTCCCTAGCACTAGCAAAACTATCTGTTGTTGCTGACAAAGTCACTCCATTATTTTGAGTCTTGCATGGAGCATCTCGTTCCATTGTATGAAATCGATATCCATTAATGAAATAGGCAGTATATCTTTTAGCCACTGTGTTAGGCCCTTTAGCTAGCCATCTTAAATGATTGGGCACTTCAACATTTTTAACTTTCTCTCTAAGCCAATTTTCGAATTCTCGGCTATGAATTCGTGCTTTTAGCCATGCATTTCCTTTAGTATGATTGTCAATGAAATTCTTATGTTCCCTGTAAGTATATAAAATTTAATCGTTAGACCATAGGAGATACTGTTTAAAATATCTTATCATGAAAAAAATAAAGTTTAAACTACAAATGACAGTTATGTATTTTATCTTACTTGATAAATGCCTCAACTTGTTCATCTCCAGTATTGAACAAAACATATCGATGTGCTTCAGACCATAACTGTAAATCCATGTCAAAAGTCTTGCCTTTCCTTTTATTCTTACTTCCGATTGGATGGCCTATATTAGGAAATATAGGTGAAGAATCATCTCCCTCTATTTGAATGCCTTCATCATCTTCAGTTTGATAGCGACTGAATCTTGTCTTCACCCCATCATGTAAGTATCTCGAACAAAAGTTCAAGCACTCTTCTGCCAAAAATCCCTCTGCTATTGATGCTTCTGGATGAGTTCGATTACGAACAAATGCTTTGTACTTACACAGGTTTCTCTCTAAGGGATACATCCAACACAAATGAGTCGGACCGCAACGCTTAATTTCATTCACTAAATGGATAGGCAAATGTGTCATTACATCAAAAAAGGTTGGCGGGAAAATTGTTTCGAGGTCACATGCTATATTTATAATTTCAGACTGAATTTTATCAAGATCACTTTGCCTTACAACCTTACTACATATGGTTCTAAAATAATTTCCTAACCTAATCAAGGCCAAAGAGACATTCTTGGGTAACACTTTTATAACCGCAACTTGGAGCAAGTAATGCATTATGAAATGAGCATCATGGCTTTTGTATCCTGATATTTTCATCTCCTCCACTTGCACTCGATGTGATATATTTGAGGCACACCCTTTTGGTAATTTGGCATTCTTTAAGACGGTGCAAAATAATCTTTTTTCTTCCGGTTTCATGGAGTAACAAGCTTTAGCTAGATGAACTTTTCCATTTTTATCATCTTTTAATGGTTGAAGCTCCTTGCGTATCCCCATTTCTTGCAAGTCATATCGAGAATTTACATGATCCTTGGACTTTCCAGGTATATCTAACAAAGTCCCAAGAAAACTATCACATATGTTCTTCTCTATATGCATCATGTCAAGATTGTGCCTCAATTTATTATGTGCCCAATATGGCAATTCAAAAAAGATGGATCTTTTCTTCCACGGACCGTCATTACGCCGAGGCCTTTTATTTTGGCCTTTCCCAAAGATATTATTGAGTTCACGTAGCTCTTCGAGCACTTCTACTCCCGATAAGGGAGTAGGCATGGCTCGATGCTCCTCTTCACCATTGAATGATTTCTTATCTTTCCAAAATGGATGATCATTCGGTAAAAATGCCCGATGCCCCAAGTAACACATCTTACGACTATGTGTGAGGTATTGAGAGCAAGTATCATAATTACAAGTGGGGCATGCCCATCTCCCCTTGGTGCTCCATCCGGAAAGCATTGATAATGATGGAAAATCACTAACTATCCACAATAAGGCTGCATGCATTGAAAATGTTTGGTTAGTTTCAGCATCATTTGTTTCTACTCCCTTTTCCCATAGTTCCTTCAACTCAACAATTAGTGGTTGTAGGTACACATCTATATCCTTTCCTGGAGATGATGGACCTGGAATGATCATTGACAATATTATATACTCCGGCTTCATGCAAATCCATGGTGATAAATTATAGTTCATTAACATGACTGGCCATGTACTATGGGAAATGCTCATAGTTCGAAATGGGTTAAAACCATCGCTTGAAAGACCCAATCTAACATTACGAGGATCTTTAGAGAAGTCCGGGCACAACAAGTCAAAATCCTTCCAAGATTCTCCATCAGCAGGATGTCTTATATTTCCATCTTTGGGTCGTTCAGTAGCATGCCATCTCATTGCTACAGCTGTTTCAGAACACATGAATATCCTCTGAAGCCTAGGCTTTAAAGGAAAGTACCTTAAAACCTTTGCAGCAACTTTAGTGTTCCTATTAGTCAAGCCATCATGCACATTCTTCTATCTAGAAGATCCACACACAGAGCAATTATCTGCCTTCTCATTCTCATTCCAAAATAACATGCAATCGTTGGGGCATGCATGTATTTTATCATAATGAAGACCCAAATCTTTTATCACATTTTTTGCCTTGTGAAAAGACTCAGGTAACTTAGCAAATGGAAATGCCTCTTTTATCAAGTCTAACAAGTCAGAAAATGCCACATTACTCAACCCATGAATGCATTTAAACAAGAACAACCGAATGGTGAAATCCTGTTTAGAGAAACTTTCACACCCTGGATACAACTCTTGTTTTCCTTCCTCCACTAATTTAAAAAATCTCTTTGCATCTTCAGATGGTCCCTCTCTCACTCCTTCATGGATCAAGTCACCTTCTACATTTCTAAATGTATCATGAAGCAGACCATCAATATCGTCATGCATATAGGAACCATCATCATCATTGGTTGGATGTGGCAAATCTCTCGAGGAAAACCCTTCTCCGTGAAAAACCCATTCGGTGTATCCATATGTAAACCCATAAGCAACTAAGTGATCCTCCACCACATTTCTATAATGCCAATAATGATTAAAACACTTTTTACAGGGGCATAATATTTCATTTCCTTGGGAAGATCGTTCAAACGCTTTATCAAGAAAATTATTTACTCCACGAATATAATCATCGATGGATCTTCAAAGACCCATCCAACTTTTATCTCCATTACTCATTGAATATCCTATGAGACACATAAGTAAATCAACAATTAGTGATCCTTGTTCCAGTAAGCTACAATTGTAGCATTCAAGTGATGTTGTATCAGTAAACCATTTAATAATTACTTCCCACTATTCCAAACTAGTTGTAAATATTTATTGCAAAGCTGGAAGCCACTAGAAAAGAAAAACAGAAAGGTTATGAAGTTGATTAGTGATCAACGACACCTAACCTGCTCATGACATGAGGGAGAAAAGATCATATCTTATTGGAAAGTAATAGAATTGCAAAGGAATCAATTTACCTCTTAGAATTACAAAGGAATCAATTTACCTCTTAGATTTCAATTTTACACTCAGAAATATACTGGT